GGGTCTGAAAACTATAAACTAGATCGTACCAGACAACGCAACCATGTCCTTGGTTGAGAGACCTTTAGACTGGAAACTAGAGATTAGGTTGTTGAGGTTAGAAGTTGGAGGGGGTATGTTGTTATTTGCAGCAGACTGGCTGGCTGTCTTGGAATCTCTTCGTCCAAGCTTAACGTTCCAGCTAGTTCCTCCAAGCTGCATATCACATATATATAAGATTTTGATGAAGCAATTAATTAACAGATCAGAAGTATTCTAGAATAATTAACATGAACTAAACTGCAGTTATGTACCACTTACAATAACGACGGAGTCTCGAGCAGCGATTGCCAAGATATCGGCACATGAAACGACACCGGGGCACACCTTCTCCACCTTGGATTTGATATCATCGACGACGTCGAACCCCCTGGCGGAATTCCGGTTGGGATTTGCATTCTTCTCTCCCGTGAAACTAGATGTGTCGTCAAGAAGTATTGAACCATCACATCCCTGGAATTAATGACACAATTAAACAAAATTCTGCCATTAAAATTTAAAGGAGGCAAACCAAACAGGGGATTAATAATATTTATGTGTTAAGCTTGTCCATATGAATACGGTTAAAGCATATTACTACTAATCAACAACAAAGGTTTTTAGATGTGGGGCAGTTGGCAGTACATGGATGCATGTCGTCAATATAGACAAAAGGAATATATAGTCAAATCTATATCAGTACACTATATAATATATATATGGTGGATGGTAAATGAAAGAAGGCTCAGTAATCAAGTTAATTAGGCAAGTGGTGTGTTGCACTTGGATTAATAATAGTATAGGTTTATAGCAGCAGGCAAAGTAAAGAAGAAATACGTTGACAAAACAGTCGTGGAAGAAGAGACGGAGGAGGGAGGCTCCCATTCGGCTTTCCTTTGATATTGCCGACCGAACGGCGGATTTCACGGTAGTGAAGACATTGGGACAGGTTTTGGAGTAGAAGTTGGTAGAGAGTTGAGCGGAGCAGCTCCCAACACAGAGGAGGAGGGATAATGTGAGAACGGTCTTCAAGGAAGACGTACTAATAGCCATTGCCACTGGATTGGATTAGTTGTACTACTACTACTCGTTGATTGATGTATGGAGAAGTAGGAAAGATGCAAGTGTGGTGAGGAGATGTGGGAGTTACTTGGGGGCTTAAATAGATATATAAGGGTTGTGATGGAGTGGGATACATGATACGATGTTTGGACTTTGGAACGGGCAGGTCACCTACTTCCCCTTCCCCACCCCAGACCGTTGCATTACACTAATGGAGGTCGATTTCTACGCTCATCAGATTTTATGCAAAAAAGAAAGCATGCAAGATATGATTCTGATGAATTAATCTCCCTTGGCTTTTGGCTTTGGCGTTGGCTTGATTGGCAATTTGACATGCATGAAATTAAGATAAAACTAAACAATGAAGATGAAGGTGTCAAACACGTTTCTGTGTTGAAAATGTTACGCGTTTATGTGGTAACCATGGTCTATGGCCAGCAGCAGTACTAATTAATTAGCTAGCACGATATGTAGGATGCATGTAGCTAGCTATCATTATCAACTCTCATTTGTTTAATCCCATATATATATATATATATACAGGTTTGAAAAGAACATATTAAAAGAATAGCAGTAAAGGTAGACATTTCAAAAGCTTACTTAGGGGAGTAGGTTCGATTGTCTCCATTGGTTAATTACAATATTAATTCGGGTGGTATATGATTAATATTGTTGGGATCTAGGGTAAATATTGATAACCAATTCACCAGGGCTTCTGAATCCTGATCGCTTAAAGGCTGTAAGGTATCATACCTTACAATTTCGGTAAATTCCATTAACTGTTAATTTGTTCATCACTGAACAATCTGAATATTTGATTGCAAGCTGCGCTTGGTAGAGAAGGAGTCAATGAAAGCAGGGGTTATAATTAAGTGGATAAAAGAGAGCGTGGCAATTTGGGTGCAGGACGATATATGTTACAATTACAACGACGAGTTTACAACAACGGGGTTAGATGATGATAAAGACATTCCACCTTCTCACGTAAGTGATGCAACTGTATATTGACACGTAGACAATAGAAATGGACAGTTTGACTTTTGCGGTAAAATCTCATTCGAAAAATGAAATTATTCCTATTTCCACTTTCCTCCATGTTTTATGTGCTACGGCCTACGGGGAAAGCCGGAAGAGAGAGAGAGAGAGAGAGAGACTTGGGGAGGAAGGAACTATAATATTGTCTCTGCTCCTCAACGTCCAAACCAAATCTATCTTTTTGAGATTCTTCAGCCCTTCTTTTTGGTAGCTGGAGTTGTGCGTTTTAACTTTTGAGAGAGAGAGAGGCACTTTACTTTGGGAAAGAATAAAAAGTAGGGAACAGTACTGGTCTTCAGCCAATGCACGTAGAGTTGGCGATTGCTCCCTTGCGGTGCGGGAGGCGGGAGGGGGATGAAAGGCTTCAGATTTCGGACACTTTTTTCTGTGGCCGGGTTGAAAAGGTAAAAATTAATTAGGAGTCGGCCGCCCATGGAAATACCCTATGACATTTTTCCGTGGCCGGGCGGGCTTGGTTAACCCGTTACTTAAACTATTAGAATTATAACTAATCTCATCTCTGTGTAAGTTTTCTAAGCCACTGACAATTACTTCTCTCGCCATTTGGACATTGGACTCAGTCAGTCTCAGTTTCGCTAAATTTAATAGCATAAAAAATGATAATTAATTCTCCAGATTGTGACTAAAATGAATGAATCAATTTTCGTTTTTACCAGAAAGATTGTGACTAAAATGAGTGGACTGTCCCAGCAGAAGCACTGCTTCAATTCGATCTTGTATTTTCGTTTTCGTTTTCGTTTTCCTTTTCTGTTACTTGTTGTATTATGACATGACTGGTGATGACTGGAGGGACGTGCATTATTTTATGTGGGTTCACTTGATTTGATGAGATCTGGTGATATAAACACACTAGGGCCCCATGATTTTCATTTTGATTCTGATACATTTTTGTGACATACTTGTGACAACGTGCAAATTAAATCAACCACAAAGTAACAAATTAAAGCTGGAAAGCCACCTAAATTAACAAATTGGGGTGACATACTTCTGATACATTAGTCACATATGCCTATTCCTTCTTCACCAAATTATTTTAACTATTAAGTTCTTCCAACTAGACACCAGTTAGGTACGCAGTCACCCACGTATAGATAATAGATTGGGGTGCCACAGCCAGGTCTTTGTCCATTAATACTCTACTTTCATACATATAGCTAGGCTGGATGAAGGACATCTCCTCTTCATTGGCTTATTCTCCAATCCCCTCCTCTACCCTCAGTCTTCAGCGTTCAGTCACTCAATCACTCAATGCACAGGGGCCGGCCTAGAAATTAAGTCTGACTAGAATATGTGTATTCAAACCTTCTAGCAGCCTAAACCCTTGAATTTCAAAACCTTCTCACCACCGCACTTCTATTGACATTTTTTTCCTCAACTTTTATAAATGTAGATACAAGTAGGTATGAGGGACGGCCCAACAAGTAATTAAAGCATCCCGAAAAAGCTGCCTCATTGCATCCGCCCAATTAAGTTTTTTTTTTTTTCGTTCTTCTTTCTCCTTGTCTTGTTTTGTTTTTTTTTTTTTTTAATTTTTAGGATAAAGCCACTTTTTGGCCAAAAATATTGATTTGGTCAATGAACCATCAACCCTGACAAACATTTTTTGGCTGTTTTTGTTTTTTTAACTTTTTATTTTTTTGTCAGAACGGGCYATCCATTCAAACTGGACGGTTGGACCGTTTGACCCAGGAACCAGTCCTTAGAACGGTTCTTTGGGATAAATTACAAAGACCTTCTATACTATAGGATCAGTGGCAATTATCCCCCTGAACTTATTTGTAGCAAAGATCACCTTGTATAGACTACGAGATCAATGACAATTACCCCCTGAACTTTCATTTGCGACAAAGACCCCACTGAACTTTCACTTTGCGACAAAGACCCCACTGAACTTCCACTTTGTGACAAATACCCACTGTCTTTTAAGTTAGATGATAGAATGTGTTAAATTATTAAAATATCAACTTGAACTTTTTTTATTTTCTTTTCCTCACATTTTCTCCTAAACCCTAATTGACCCAAAATACCTCCATTTTCTCCAAATGAAACTAACTAAAATAACTAAAATCATTTCACAACAAAGAATAAATAAGTTTCTTTAAATTCTTGTATTATTTCATTGACATGAAGGTCACTCATCATCTTAAAATATAAAGATGATCCACTTTTCTCTAATAAATTAACAAAAACCAAATAAAACTAGCTAAAATAACAAAAATCATTTCACAACATAGAACAAATAAGTTTCTTTAAATTCTTATATTATTTCATTGACATGAATGTCACTCATCATCTTAAAATATAAAGATTATCCACTTTTCTCTAATAAACCAAATGAAACTTTAAATTTATCTCTATCAAAAAGAAATCTCTACCCTTCCGGCCATTTAAATATTGAATCTAACCAGAAATGTGCAAGGATCTATTAGAATAATCAAGAAAACTTCAATATTATATTTAGAAAGTTAATTGAATCACAAATCATTCAAAAAATTAAAAAAAGTGTGATGATTTGAAAATTTAAAAGCTTTTTAAATAGCTGAGTGAAAATCTATTTGGCCCAACCCGCCCGACTTGCACCCCTAATTAATGGTAACATATTGTCAATCTACGACTCTTGTAGATTTGACACGTGTTTAGTCTTCATAAAATAGGGTCCTTCTGATTGGCCGTGTGATCACTCTTCCTTGTCCATATCAGAAACTCAGACGTAGACCTGGCAATTGGGTTGGGTGGGTCGGGTTTGGGTTGGGTCAAGTTACTTTGGGTTGATTTCAGATCGGGTTGAATTTTGGGTTGCGTTGTCAAATGCTAGACCCTAACCCTAAATGTTCGGGTTAGGGTTGACCCATGGGTCAATTCGGGTCATCCAAAAAAAAATTAAAATTAAAAAAAATAAAGAAAAATTACATGAAAATGTCAAAATTAAAAGAATTAACCTTAAAATTCCAAATATAAAATAAAAAACTTGAACATTTAACAATTTAAAGAGTAAACAATAAAAAGTAAAGACTAAATAGAAAAAATTAAAAAGTGGAAACTTCTAACAATGCATAAATAATCCCAATTAGACTTGACAAATCGGGTCAGCGGGTTGACCCATGACCCAACCCAGTTTTTTTGGGTCGGATCGGGTCATTTTCGCATTCGGGTAGCTAAAATATGAGACCCTAACCCTGTTTTTTTGGGTTGGRTCGGGTTTCGCGGGTTGGGTCAACTTTTTGTTAGTTCTACTCAGACGTACACATTACGCCTGGAGAAAGATATGGAACCTGAAAAACTTTAACCATTCAGAAGCCCATGTGGCCATGTCAATTTGGATGAGTATCAGTTGATTGTTTACTACTATAAGCCATTTGGTTTTTTCTTTTAATCACAACGTCCGCCTACAAAAAAGTGCATATGGACGAAGTTGCGTTGTATTTTTGGGCTGCAATTTGCTCTATCAACAGGATGGCGTGGAAAAGGGAACACGACTTGCCTATTGGGCCTCCACCTTGTTGCCATGTGGATTGTTCTTGGGCCACTTCAGATTTAATTAGTCTTTTGTTTCTTTTAGTTGGGCCCGATCCAATCCGCTGCCCGCGCTTGACCAAAATGTCTGCACGATCACGAATTTCCATGTTTAATCTTCTTCCAAAGTTTGTTATGGCTAAATCTGAGGTGTTGTGAATACGACCGACATAGGATGATAGGACCCTTAAATGGGTTTGGAGTCCTACAAATTCCTACATTTCCCATGCTCTACAAGTCAGGACCCACCTCGAATTGGTCCCATTGATCGGTAACTGGATCAAAATTAAGCAACCATATAATTTAGGATTGAAAGATGGAAATTGTTCTCCTTATTTAGGGGAGTTAAGATTTCTGTAGGACGCACTTAGAAAAACAGATTTCTGAAGGACATATTCCTGCAATTCCTGTTTGTTTGAAGTTTGCAAATGAGATGGGTATTCAACATTTTCATCTTCAAGGTGATTTAGAGATGGGGGGTGGGGGGCGCTCAGTCAGTCAGTTGAAACAAAAGAGAGTGCAATTTTTCAGACTCCAAAATTGTTTGAAGTAGGCATCAAATTGACTGTTTATTTGTCATTTCGAACCATAAAAGAACGTAATTGACCATGCAAAACGCTCTCTCTCCCTTACATCGACATCAACGGCAACCTTAAGCCTTGTGTACCCAACAATCAAATTTGTAGTTGAATATGCATGTCTTCTACCAAATCGTCGTTAATTTATGATGTCCATTTTTCAAAGCTTCACTAGTCAAGTCGTAAATGTATGCGCAATTAGTTGGAGGCCTAACTTCAAAGAAATCTCCCACAGCCATAACATCTTGTGTGGTGATATGTTTGATTTGTATACAGAAAGAACTTGACGATTTCTAGAAGGGAAAATCATTGTTTGAAGCAGAGGAGATTGGTTGTCGGAAAGCAGATTTGGAATTTTCTAAAAGCCCTTATTCTTAAGCTACCATTTAAGAGCCTACAGTCTACACAATTGCTCGCCTTTGTTTTTTTTTTTTTTTTTCCTTCTGCTGGTTCCGTTTCTTTTCCGGCTTTTGGACCATTCCTTTTGGAAATTGGAAGGCAGGTTCTTTTTTAATAGGCTTCCATTAATACACTAATTGAAGGTTCCCTACAATAGTCCTTACACCAAATCATGAAAAGGTTTTCTTCTCTTAGCTAGATTGTGAACCACCTAACAACTACTTTTACAGCCAAATTAAAGATTTTGCTAATATTTAAGCACCCGTTTCGTTCACATCCAGAATCGGAATTGGAATTAAAATCTTTTGTAATCAGATTTGGAATGATGCATTTCGATAGTCTGTTTGATTTAAACATGAATGGAAATAGGAATTAGAATCAGTTGAAATGGGATTTCATTCCCAAAAAATGGGGAGGAAATGACTATTACTTCAAATGGGGGAATGCCATTCCACCAGAAATGGGAATGAGATTCTATTTATGATTCTAAACCTCTATCCCTACAAATCAAACAGGCCCCTGCACAATTTGGGTGAAATTTTGGTTTAACTACTCTTGGTGACCGTTGAATTTTGTTATTACACAATTACAAATGAAATAATTCAGCATCTCAAATTGATTATTCCTTGTTTTTAACACAAACTTTACTCCAAAATTTTATTAATCATTATCAAACGGAAGGCTTAGTTTGGGAAGAGTACAAATTCAAATGTGTACAGTGCAAATGCAAATTTAGAAATACAAAATACAAGTCTTTGCATCGTACATATTTGTATTTGCACTCCTTCCAAACTAAGCTGAAGGAAAAAAAAAAAATTACAGGAGATGTAGGACGTGTAGTTTTAGGGCTGACCCATAAGCCCATCATCATCATCTTCTTCGTTTGAAGGCAGTGTAGTCTGTAAGGCATGTTACGGTAGCGGGTGAAGACCGAAATCAATCCAAAAGGCATGGAGCATGGAGATGGAGATTAAGGTCACTAATCTGACATCTTCCCAAACTCACATTGATGCAGACTATCCCAACTTGGTAGAAAAATCTTCTACGACTACGAGGGATTTATCAAATTTCGATAAATAAAGTTGATTAAATGTACAGAATAAAAGTGAAAAAGGCATAATATTGGATAAACAAATCACATATCCCTACAGCATACGCCATACATCATACATGTTGCAATATCCAAAGCACAAAAGAACCAATGCAAGCCCAAGACGAAACTACCAGCCCAAAATGCAGTTGGCCTAAACACTGGCCCATGAAAACATAAGTAGGGATTCATGAGGTAATAATAATTTCTTCTAATTCTGGCTTTTCCATTTTCATACATGGACCTTTGTCTTGTATAGACAGCCCAAGTCCAGCATTAGGCGGGTCAGATGAAAACTGGTTCATATTCTTTATGTTTCATTTCAGTCCAATTGAAAATATCATTAGTTTCTTTGCCTTCTTCCATACGCTTAATTTCAAGAAGAAAATAATAATAATATGAACAACAGTTAAGCTTTTTTCTCTAATTTTTGCAAATTTCAGAGATCACCCCAGAATAAGATAAACTCAAACATATCATTTCCATTCCAATTCTTCTTGTCTTGTATCTTCATGTGATACTTGGATGTCAAAATTCCAAATACAAGTTAAAGATGCATGAAAACTTATGGGGGGAATTCTCGCTGTCAAAATTATGTGTAGATGGAATTGTAGGTGTGGAATTCTCGCTGTCAAAATCTTTGTTTTACAATAGCACAGCCCCTTTCAATTTATCTTTCTCATATAAACCTAATGGGGGGGAGTGCTTATTTTTGCCCAATTGCAATTCTAATCCTACTTAATTGCAGAAATATGCAAATCTTCTATTCTTGATTGATATCGACTGTGAGGTAGACTCCTGTCCATATATTTCTAATCCTTCCATGCCTTGACTTAGATTCTATCCAAACAAAAGTCAGAGGCTCTAAAACGACTATGGAGAAAGAGAGAGAGAGAGACTAAGGCCCCCCCTAAATATCTTTATTTGTAGAATGGTGGTGCCCAAATCATATATGGACCATGATATTAAATTTTGCAATTCGTAAGTCGGATTGCGACGCGCAAAATACAGGATCGGCAAGCGAGAACCATTTCTGTGGTTAAGGTTATCCAGTGCAGTGCAGTGAGTTTACATCTGCTTCTATTTTCCGTTCAATTGGCGCAAAATTGCACCCCCACCCCTTACATGTGATTCTGTCTGGTCAATTTCGCCGGCTTCTCACATCAGAAAAAAAAAAAAAAGGGAAATGCTTTTCAATGGTGTGTTTGGCATGCCTTTTTTCTTTTCACAAAACGTTGCTCCCATTATTAGCCATACGGAGTCGGAGGATTACTTGAATCACCAAATTTAAAGTTATATAAATTTGAAAAATATGACAGCTTTTTTTAGTTATCATATAAAAATAAATTCAATTTTTTTTTTTGAAGAAAGCGAATCAATTCTATATTTATTACAATCATACATGAAGAATACCTCGTCATCTACATAGTATTATACAGGGAAAGGGAAAGATGTTTCCAATTCACGCAGGGGAGGGAGTATTGTGGATAGGCATGGACAGGAGATCGGAGTCGCTTGTGAAACACGTTGGTGCTAAACAGTAAGCACCATATAAAAGATTCTAGCACGTCTTCCCGAATCTCGATCCAACCGATTAATTATGACTTAAGAACTAACTATTATTGGTCCAATTCCAAAATCTAATCTAATTACTCAACTAGCTTCACTGGATTGAGGTTTTTATTAACTCAACTCCTCCAACAAACTCGCTTCTATGGTTGGAGACTTGGAGTTTATTAATTCATTTAATTATTTCATCTATATACAAACTACAAATGGAGTAGTATGCAGTAATGCACTTGACATTTTAATATATTTTTAATTTATTGACTCTTTAGTTGACTCGTTGAGTCAGGAAAAGCTCAACTCAGTACACTTGTCATTTGAGTCGAGTCCCTCAACACCGAAAGGATGAGGGGTTCCATACATATATTACAAACTTTGTCACGCTTAGACAATGCTCTTTCATCCCTACTCAAGCTCAACTGCTCAAGGCTGGAAATCCAAAGAGGAGCATTGTGTACAGGCCTACTCTCCATCTCAACTCATCAAATCTTGCTCTCAGCCACTTCAATGCTCTCTGTTTTGTACTTGTATTTGCTGGATACCCACAAAAAGATGCCTAGATTAATGGTGGAGATGATCAAAAGGAAACCATAGTAGTAGTCCAAATGACAAGCATTCAAGTTGTTCCCTATCCATCTCTTCCTCCCATCCCTCCCAGTTATGTCATCCACAACAGTGACTAGGAAGCTATTCAAGAAGTTCCCCACGCCAATCCCACTAGTGAAGAATGTGGTTCCGAGGCTCTGCATGTCCTCCGGCGACTGATCGTAGAAGAATTCAAGCAGACCAATGGCATTGAATACATCTGCTATGCCTAAGAGAACATACTGGGGTAGGAGCCAAAATATGCTCATGGGGACAACCTGCTTGCTACCGGAGATGCCATGTACCTTTATAACATGCATCCTTCTGAGTTCTACAATATATGCAATTAAAGTGACTACAACTTGGATCACAAACCCAATTCCAAGCCTTTGAAGGAGTGTGATTCCCCGGGGGTTGCCGGTCCTCCGCCGCATCAATGGCACCAAGTAGCGGTCATACATCGGCACAGACAGGATCATTGAGAGTGTAACAAAGCTCCCTAGTGATGCAGCTGGGATTTGGAAGCTGTGTCCTATGTGCCGATCCAGTGTGGTTCCCTGTTTGACAAACAGAGTGTTTACCTGTGCCCAGATGGTGCTAGGAATCAGGGTCACTAGCCATATTAGGGCCATTCCAAATACAAGCTTGGTTCCTTCAACTTGAGTCACAGTGCAGGGTGGTCTTGAGCCCGCTGCATTGCCGTCTTTGATTGCAGCCTTGTCCAGGAACCTATCAGGTTGTACCAGAAAAAGCAACAAAGTTATGCTATGCATGTTAGCTTTTCAATGGGGGGGATGCATTACAGTTTTTGGGTTGGGTTTCTGCCATCGGGATCGGATCAAATCCAGTTCATTACATGAGGAAGGGGTTTGGAAACGGGCGCAAAATATGAATCAATTTGGATGAGAACGAGATGGATGAAATTATGAATCCGATACCACATACCAGTCAGTGTATGTGGGTTTCGCATGGGAGTGGATCATGGATCAGATGGATCGTACCAGTTCCATTGTCAGCGGGAATACCAAATGGCCAATGGCCCAATGCTTGCGATATGGGCCTATGGGCCACCATGTACACGGTACACCCTAGAAATTAAACGAAGACATGAGAGGATCAAGTCTACAAAAGGTGAAAGGGGGTGTTCCCATCGAATTTACATGAATGTTTGATAGACTGAGTTGGATGTCCCCTTGTGATATGAGAGGATCCCCGGTCGGCCGGTCCCCACTCTTGTGTGCTTCGTTCGTGTCCCCGCATACCGGGTGGATGGGGTGGGGATAATATTCAAGAGTGATGACTGATGACCCAGCCACAAGTCACAGAAGCTGATCTGCAGACTGGCCAGCGCACAAAGCATTTAGTAGCTTTTGTTGTTTGAAAACGAGAGAGATAAATAGTTTTTATTGATTGACATAGGCATGTCTAAGGTCATTAATCTATGTGGAAATGATTTGTATGTTACGACTCGAGAGGCCATAGTGCAGGGTGGGGCTCATTAAATATAATTATAAGATTGATAATATTGAGTTGGGAGTTTTGAGGATATTATATTATTATGATTTATGACATCCCAACAGGCAAATGGGATATTATATTATTTGTTGATTTGGTTGATATTGAGGTGACTAAGTCTCATGTTCTGGCACTTGGGTCCATACCCAATTACCCATAGGTTAAAGACCAAGTCCAAGTCCAAATAAAAAGGAAAAACAGGGAATTGATATAGGTGTTTGTGCCATGAGATAGATCATGGAAGATTCCTTCTTCTAAATCCAAATCCAAACCCAGACGGCCAGACCCAAGTGCAAGTGCAACCAATTCCACCAAGGCCCCAAAGTTAATTTTTAATATATATATTTTTATAATATAGTACAAATAATCTTGATTGGCGGAATATCTTTTTCAAGCATTTGCTATTTGCTACACACAAAGTCGTGAATCCTGTGTATCTAGACATGCATTGTATAGAAACAAACTCTCATCACATCAGTGTCCTACTTTATATATATATATATATTGTGTAAGTGTAGTAGGATCCACATCCACTCGGTCGGCCGCCTATTATAAGACAGGGGTCCACCATTCCGTGGTGAGGCATCCTGTGTCTAAAACAAGAAGATAGGACAAGAGTCCACCACCAACACCAACAGATATTTTGCTAGTTTCCGGGCAATAGATCCCCACCTTTTTAACCACAGGAAATCTCCTAAGCAGCCATATGGAGTGGTCGGCCCTAAAGCATACACTCCCTCACATCATCAACAGGAACGTGAGATGAGCAAGGAGAAAGAATTCCCTCAAACTCAAAGTAAGCCCCCTTAATTAATATTCAATTCTCCTTTACACATATGATGATCAAGACTCAAGAGTTGATGACACACACCATTTTCATAACGGTAACACTAACAGAACAGAGACGGAGAGACCTGTACACACAGCTATCCCTAGCTACTGGCTACTGCTGCAAGTACTACTAGTACAGGGTAGTAATAGCAATGCGATTAAGATCCAGCTTTAAAGTTTAAAGCTCACTTGGGTCATGATGTCATGAGCTTCTCCCGGTGGGGTGTGATTGGGATTGGGTCAGTTTAATAAGTTGACCAACACCCCAGAGGCAGATCCCTTTAGAAACCAAGGAGGAAATTCAATATTTGAAGAAACGAAAGTCAAAACAGCTATAACAAAAGTGGATAGGGAACTTACCTAAAAGCCGGTGTGTGATGAAGCCGTCGCTTTCCAGTGACCACATAGTGGTGTGGCTCAAGCTCATAAAGCTGGGATGGATCACTAGGGAGCTTGAGATTGCGATTTGCCAAGGCTGTAATTGGAACTTGAATTAGGTCTCTTGCAGGGGTTTTGGTCTTCCTGGCCTTGTGTCTGTAATTTGGGGTCCCCAAGTAGAAGATGAATAAGGAGAGAAGGAGACCAACTGTAGGGATTCCATATCCGAATCCCCAACCCACGTTCTCTTGTATGTACACAAGACCCATGGTAGCAAACAAAGCACCTAAGAATGAGCTGAACATCCACCAGTTGAAGAAGGAGACCTTGAGATCTTTCTCATGGGGGTTGAAATCATCGAACTGGTCAGCACCAAAGGTGGATATGTTGGGTTTTGTTCCACCCGCTCCAATTGCTATAATGTAGAGAGATGAGTAGAAGAACGCGATTTGTGATTTAGAAGCTTTATTGCATATGCCGTTTGCACATGTTGGCTTCAAGGATCCAACAGAGACCGCCATTGTCAGAAGCACCATGCCCTGTTCAATTTTGGAATTATAAGGATACTAGTTTTAACCAAAATAGTCACAAGAACTATATTCTAACAAGGAAAAATAGCGGCGAATCCTTTACTTAGGACTGAAGGGACAGCCTTTTGATTCATATCTAGAGTTCGGTAAACATTTATTAACTGATATGAAGTACTTGTCATTTTCAAATAGCTGAGGTTCATTTTCATAAACAAATGCATTAAAAAGAGAGGAACCTTGGGAATTGAATTGGGTAGAAGAGAGACATGGCTTCTGTATGAAGTAAGCATTTTTTTTACCGATTAAAGAGACTGTGTAGAACATATATAGTGCAACCTTAAAGATAAATGGGAAACAACCAGAACAATTGTACTGATGAAACAGGGACTACTATCAGTGGAACTTTCATTGTGGATTGTGGACCATTGCTCATAATTTAATTGGCCACTCCAAAAAATGGGTGGTGCTCCCAAGTTGGATGGTCTAGACTCTAAGACACCAAATATGTGGCCGAGTCTAAAGCTTCTTAATTACTGCTTTTAATAAGTTGATGAACCAAGAAAACTCAATGCTTGGTTTCTGCCGTCTATGTGCTTATGTGCAACTGTGTGTGGTGTGTGTGTGTGTGTGAAGAGAGAGAGAGAGAGAGAGAGAGAGAGAGAGAGAGAGAGAGAGATTAACGGAGAAACAAAAGGAAGATTAGTGCAGCTTAAAATGTATAATTTACCAGGACGTAAATGAGAGATGACACAGTGAAGGTCCAAAACCGACCCACGTAGGAATCCGCAATGTAGGCGCCGAGTATGGGTGTTAGCCAGACCGACCCAGACCAGTTATTCACGTTGCGCACAGATGAAACTATTTCCTCGTGAAGCTGGGTTGTCAGATAGTTCACTAAATTGGAAGCCACTCCATAGAAAGCCATCCTCTCGAACGCTTCATAACCTGCAAGTGTTTTACCAAAATAACTCATTTCAGTTTACTAATTTTACTAGATGCATGCATCTCTCTGTGTAAATCCCCGGATAAATCCCATAAAAAAATGGAAATCCTAGAGCATTTCAGATATTTTCAAACGGGCACCTTTTACGCTTTTCCTTTTCTTCTGGAGATTGGAACTAAAAATAACAACACCAAAAGTAGGAAGTTTGGAAATTGGAAGAAATCACTAGTATTTATCATTCTGAAAATTGAGGGAAACAATGAAATTGTGAATCAAGACATACATGAGGTATTGCTTATATATATTGCAAACATAAACCTTGAGTCCATAAATTTATTCATATTGACGTTCCTCTGTCAACGAAAATTAAACCAACTAGAAACTAGAAAACGATACTTACCAACTAGAAAAGCACAGGCCTTCCACCTCCCTGTTCGAGAAGCGAGAACCGGACGTCCGCGAAGATCGACGGTGCCATCTTTCGTGTAAACTTCTTGGGCGTAACCTTTGCCTTCCATTAGAGAACCTGTTTCAGAGAGAGAATGGTTACTAGCAAGCAATTAAGTTGAGGGAAGAGACTAGAGAGCAATAGAGGTTTCTTGGGCTAATAGAGGGTGTAAAGTGAGATATAAGTAGGCAAGGCGAAACGGGTGGGTGTACCTCAACACACCAGTTTTGTTTAACCACAGAGTACAGTAACTTTGTTTGAGATTCCAATTCATCCTCGAGCAGAACAGTGGAGGAAGGAGAAAGAGATGGATTTGACAAGCAGGGGCCCAATCACCGCCACATAAGGAAAACAAGGAATGCTCATCACCAAGAAAACTAAAAACGGAAAAGAATATATAAAAAAAAAAAGATAAAGAAACAAACAGGAATTAAGAAGACGAAAATCGATCAGTTAATGTAGAGAAGGAGCATGAGCATTGAAGCTAGCTGAACAGTTTCTCGTTTGTTACCAATAATTGAGTTTGAGTCAGTAAACTTATACTCACAAAGAAAAGGTTGGTAGATAATACCACCAACCGTAGCTTGGACAACGGATTGACTGGGGTTATGTGATTTTTCAGAGAAGAGAATCCGTCAGCTGGACTCGGCTCTGGACGGGAGGATTGGAACAAAACATCTTTCTTCTTTTTAGTACTCAAGATGGAAAAGGAACAATGCATCTTATCAGGTGGAAATTAGCCCATGGCTTAGGTCGCACACAGGCGTGTTTTGGACCGACCGTTGCATGGGCCCACCTGTGTTTCACATGCAATGAATCGTCGAGGAGAAGTGATCGATGGATGAGGGTTCCTTGTTGAGTACTGATGCACATGCAGATACATTTATTGTTAAAATATTTATCAAGTGAATTCAATCTTAATTAATTTCCTCATCGAAATCGAATATAGGTGGTGGTAAGGGGAGTGGATGTGGAGATGGAGTATGGGAGAGTGTAGATTGAAATTTGAGTGAACCATCATTTAAGGGATTTATATTGATTATGAATAATTATTGTATTACAGTTACTCGATGATCCATGCATGATGATTGATGAATCCAATCGAAACAGTTCTCATATATAGAAGTGGCCGCCTATAGAAACGAAAAAGTTTAAAAATCAGTTGAAGCAGGGATTGCACCTGACCCCAAAGCATATAAAATAAACATCATACCTGGTGGTGTGAAGTATACCAAATCACTATAATGTTCACCACATGCGTAGTATTCTTCATGTATAGAATCAGACCTGGGTATAGAATTAGAAAAGGGAAAAATTTAATTACAGTCTAGTCTAATTGAAGGTCAAATCATGATGACGTGGCATATATATATATATATATATATATATATATATATATATTTTAAGTATTATTACATTGCATGTGGTGGATCAGTGGCTTGTGTTTAAGTTTGTAAAATAAATGATGATGTAGTGGATCATGATTCAACTCTCTTAATTTACATTTTCTTTAAATATATATATATATATATATATATATATATATATATATATATATATTAAAATAATAAATATATTAAAGAGACATAAATAAATACAAACAAGAGATGGATTAATGCGATAATATGACAATACTCATAAGTAAAAGGTATTGGGTTGAAAGATTGTTATCATGATTTTGAAGTTTCTAATAATGTTATCACTTAAGCATATTCATAAAGTTGGGACGGTTCACTAATTAGCTTTTTGGTTAAACCAGTCAATTTATTAGTTTTGGCCGATTTTTCATGAATCATGTTTTCTAAACAATGGAATTTATAAAGAAAACATTCCCTTGGACTGGAATTTGTAGAGAAAACATTACCTTGGACTGGTGTAGCAGAACAATCTAGAAACCCCCAGTAAACATGCCAGCCTTTGAATTAAATAACAAGTTGATGTTATGTCTTGAATTTATTGCAAACGTTGATGTGTTTGCATTTCATTGGAGGTGTCGGGATTGTTCTGCGTGTCCTGAGATAATGCAATCTTGAATTTGCATACTTGGGTTGGTGCAAGAGTATCAATCAAGATGCAAAAGGTTAAAAACCTTCTAAACACCAACGTTTTAAAAAATGATGTGGAAATGGAACCGTTTTGGCCAACGGTTTTTAGGTTAACAGTCCGATCGTTTAGTTCGAACGGATGGCCCGTTCTAATAGTAAAATTAAAAAAATTAAAAAATGGTCAAAAACCGTTAAACTAATTGATGGATCGACCACCCGGGTTAATGATTTGTTAATTTTTTTTCAACGGTTTTTAACCAGATTCTAAGTTTTGGGTAAAATGGAACCGATTGCCTAGATGGTTCTCGGGCTGAATAGTCCAACCGTCCAGGTCAACGGCGGTTTGAAAACGTTGGTAAAACACTCTCTTGGATATAAGAGTCCATTGGCTTACAAGTATTGTATCCTTATTTTCTCTCTGGGGTTTTTTGAAAAGGCCTAAAATCTCTCCTGTAGTTTGACGTGACTTTAAACCCTCCCTAATTTTTTATAAAGTGGACAGTTACCTTAAGGCTGTATTTAGTTTAAAGGAAAAAAGTAAGAAAAAATGAAGAAACCTTTATAAACCTTGTATAAGTCTCCTCACCTTTCCCTTTCGTATAACCTGCATTTGGATGAAGAGAGGTTTAAGGTTTTTTCCGTTAAAGATTTAAGGGTATTACAATCATCAAACATTTGAATATTTTAGATAAGCGCAAAATTGACATTACAATATGTAGGTTTCGGGGCAGGTCAAACTGGAGGAGAAATTTAAAGCCTTTTCAGAAAACCCAGTGTTATAAATCAAAAGCAACCTGACCCAACCCGAGGCCTGGCTTGAATGTATTAGGGTTTATCTTGGCCTGGGCCTGGGTTGACAACTTTGGGTTTGAACTTGGGTTGGGCCAGGCCTCAGGCCGAATACCCTAATCTTAAGGTTGGGCCTGAGTTGAGTCTGAACCCGACCACACCCACCCGAGTTGCACCACTAACCGCTACTCTCTCTCCGTTGCATTACTTTTAATTCCTTTTCACAATACTGTTGGTGGTGGTGTCTTGAACCTTCATGGACGGTTGGACCAATACTTTCATGACTGGAATAAATGGTTTTCCAAGCCGTTGATTTGGTCGAAACTCAAAAGTCTCCATAAATTATAATACTAACATGTGCTGGATTATATCATTATTTACTGATTTAGGGGCATTGACATAAAATAACATTCTTTTACATTTTTTAATTTTTACATTCAAATTTTATAGTCGATAAAGGACTGAACCATCGGCCCATGAACCTCATCTATGAGAGAATACTGAATAGCCCTTTCTATTTCCTTAATCCCTCTACTTCTTTAGTTGCCCCCGACAAAAATTAAGTATGCATTAACAGTAGTTGATAAAGCATATGACTTTTTTTATCAAAAGCCCACTTGATGCAAATTTATTTCTTTTTATTGATGTACTTTTATATCTTATTATCAATGTAAATATCCATTGAAAAATGTGTTTTCTATCATTTGTCAATGTATAAATATAATATTGCTAAATACAGACAAAAGTGGCATTCAGATATGCGCCCCACAACACATCCCTGCCATGTATTGGTAACATCTCCCGATGATAATATCAGAAATGATGATGTCATCATTGGGAGATGCTCCCAATACACGGAGGGGATGTGCTGTGGGGCACAGGGAGGGCGCAGATGTAAACTCGCAAAAATGAACCAGAGTGCAAATTTATCCTAAACCGAGATTTACACTTTATTTGCGTCACTTTCAAAGGCAGCCTAAATTTCAATTTGAATATGGATATTAAGCTCAATTTAGAAAAAGTATAAATACAAATATATAGAGTGCAAAAACTGGTATTTTATATTATTCTGTACTGTATATATTTGTATTTGTACTCTTTCCAAAATGAGCCATAGAAGAAGTGGGGGATCAAATCTGTGTAAAAGTAGGTTCTCTGTGTAAAAGAAAAAAGAAAGGAATCTATGTAAAAATAGGTTCTCCTTATTAAAGTCAGTGAACGCAAGTGCACCTTGTTCTGTCCCCATCCATGAATATCATGAATCCTCTATGATGTGTGTTATGTAATTAAAAAATGTATAAATTAGTATCCAGTACCCCGTTAGTCATTTTCACCCAATAATCTTCTTCAATGTGGGATACATTCATACATGTTGTAAAAAAAAATCATCCCAAACTGGAAGAGAAGGCAAGTTATGGAATCAGTCAAAAGAGACACTTGTTTCAACCTCACTTACCCTGAAGCAAAGTGAAAAAACAAATTAAAACACTATCTTTTCTTTTGGTAAAACAGTAGAGAACAAGGCCGAAGCCAAAACAAGAACAACAGCAGAAACAAGAACAGTACCCCTTCCTTGGGAGCTAGGCTTCGAAACATCACTAGCTAGCCAAATCTTTTGCATCCTCAATTAAATTAGGAACCGGCTACAATGGGGGACTCCAATCTGCAACCAAACCAGCACTTCCTTTTGATGTCAACGGCTCTATTAAACAAAATAAATCTTACAGCAACGGCCGCATGCTAGGCAAGCAGGTAGATGATTTCTGATTTAAAGCATCAACAATGTTAATAGAGTCACATTCAATAATATTAAGGTATTTAATACCCGACCTTATAGCAGATAAACAACACTCCAAAATAGCAAATACTTGAGCATAATCTGTAGACACAGCCTTGCAAGGCCCATATTTTGCAAATAAAAAGTTATCGATCCATAATCCAAAAACCAAAACTTCTAGCTCCACTACTTATTTATACTTTCTACTTTCAAAAACTACTTACATATACGCCATCTATTAAGAGAAGACGTTTAACGCTGGTTTATATGTCTATTATTTTTCTTCTCATAATCCCATTTTTACCATCATCTTCTTCTTTCTTCCTCTCTCCTCCTCCTCTCTTTCTCTTTTGTTCCCTGTCGGTTTGGTTCCAAGTGAAAAAGAAATGGGGGAGATATTTAATTAATTTTTACAAGGGCGGTACACTTAAGAAACTAGATATAGAAAAAAATTGTAAGTAAACAAAGAGTGGGAATTGGGAAATGCTCATTGCCATTCTTTACAGAATGACGCCATTCATCAGCTTTCTTCATTCTAGTTTCAACAAACCCCCATTACCGCTTTGAGAACACTGCCATTGTCATTTAGTGGTGTTTGTAGTGGTGGAGAAGAGAAAGTAGAAAGAAGAAGAAAGAGAGGAAGAAGGAGAAGGAGAAAAGAAAAAAAGGCATCCATTATAGCTCTAAAACACCACTGCCGTCTCTCAATGGTGTTTTCAATGGTGGAGAAGTGAGCAAGGGAGAAAGAAGAAGAAGAAGA